GTGGGCCTGGGCTGGGTAGGGGGGGTAGGTAGGGTAGGGGCGTGGGCCCAGAAGTCCGGGTGTAGGGTTAGGAAACTGCCAGGGTTGAGATCCGGTGGGTTGTCGTGAGTTTGAGCCTCCACGTCCGCGGCCACGTCCCCGTCCTCGATTTCCGCCATTGAAGGGCCGAGAGTGACCGCCATATCCACGTCCAGGGCCGCCTGCCTGCCGCTGCTGCCCGCCCCCCACTGGACTCCCGCCGCCACTGCCGTCGCTCAGGAGGGCCGTCGACAAGCCGGCGCCATGGGTGGCGTCGGTTTGTTGTTGTTTGACGAGCAAGAGGGCTGAGCGGACCTCCAAAAAAGTGGGGAACGGAGTTTGATATTGGAGAAACGTAACCTGACCCCGGATGTCTTGAGGGAGCCCTTGAAGCACCTGCAACACCAAGGCATGTTCGGTCACCGGAGCGTCCACATCATCGAGATAATCGGCAAGATTTTTGAGGAGTTGGCAATATTCACTGATCGTCCGAGTCCCCTTGATTGTTGTTCGAAACCGATGCTCCAATTGCATCGCACGTGCATGTTTATTGTCATGAAACAATTTGTAGATTGTCGTCCATAGAGAATGAGCGGTGGGGCTGTTTGCAAGAACAAGATCCGAGACTTCGTCGTTGACGGTGGAGAGGATCCACCCTTGGAGCAAGGCGTCTAATTGGTGCCATTCAACGTCGGTGGAGGAGGAGGCGGCTTTGGTGCCATCAAGAAACCCCATGAGATTGAATCGGAGAACGAGAAGACGGAAAAGTTTGCTCCACTTTTTGTAATTCGGTTCGGAGAGGCTTAGTTGAACCAGAATATGTAGCTTAATGTTGGAGATAGTAGTGAAGGCGAGATGGGGAATTTTGGTGGAGGAAGTATTCTCGGAGGAGATGGACGAGACGTCGGCCATGGTGATGCCGATGAGTGACGCCGGAAAAAGGAGAGAGAGAGATCGGCAGTGAGAGAGCCGAAGGAGGAGTAGGGAGAGCCGTGAAGTCTAATGCTCTGATACCATGAAAGATTTAATATTTCCAATAATGTATAATGTGAGATTACAAGTAAATATATACTAAGAGAATCCTAGTTATGGTAGGAATACAATAAAGGTAATCTACACAAGAATGGTAACTAGAATATACACTAATATATGCATAATATAATAAATATAGAGTTACTATATTTAACAGACATGGCATATGTGGTAGCAAAATATGGGTGTAAGTTGCTAATTTGGAATTGAGAATCTCCCCACTGTACGGCTAAATGGCGGCTAAATTGAGGATAAAAATTATGCCTCCTCTTAAGATTTGAATATCCACTTTAATAATTGAGGTTCTCCTCCTTTCAATTACGGACTATGTCTGGCGCAAGAATAAATCATTAGGCTTCGCCAATGGACGGTGAACTCCGACGATTTGAATTTCGACGGATCTGGACGGTTGGGACGGAATTGTGACGGCTGACCTGGACGGATGGGACGGACAAAGATTTGTTCAGCACTAGAGACAGACGAAGATTTTGGCGACCAAAAACAGGGCCGATGTCTGGAACAGAGACCCGCGACCGCACAGGGACGGATGATCGCGACTTAAGCCGGCATCTTGGACGGAGATGCACAACAGGGACAATGACCGCCGACCGGAACACGAACGAACAAAAACTAAGTTTAGGAAAAATCTCAAGAAAGAAGCTCTGATACCATGTAGAAACTATAAGACGTTGAACTTGGTTTCTTCCATTGATGCCAAAAGAATATAAATATACATCGGTGATACAAACGAAGAGTTCCCCGGTGATACACACGAGGAGTCCAACCTAACTAGCCCAATGCAATGAATGTTGCTATTATACATAAAATACATGGTCTAACATTTAATTTTTCATGATATCCAATACAATCATTTAATAATTGATATTATATATATAAGTTCAAATGAAAATAATGCGTAGTAAAAGAAATGAGAATGCATACAATTCATTAGCTTTAAAATCTATGGGCTATTAATATTCAAAAAATCCAAAAAAAAAAAAGTAAAAAAATTGTGGTGCTAATTTTGTAAATATACTCGGGGTATTAAACTTTCCGTAAATGCTCCACTACAAGTCTACAACTGTGAAATGCATCACCTCAGTCTAAAAATTCACCATTCTCATATTTTCGCAGTAAGGATATTTTCACCTGAACCAATTTAAATCGCCTGTTTTGATTTTCGAGCATATTTAAGGAAAATAAAAAATAGAGTTGATTTTCCGAAATTGACATTACTTTTTAGGAGGGATGATAATGAATGAGAAGATAAGGTGAAGAAGTGTGACTTATTTTAGAGGTAATTTAAGTATTTTATTTTTAAAAGTTTACGAAAACAACTAACAGGCAACTTATTTTGGGACGGAGAAAAAAGGAAAACAGTCAATTTAAAATGGGACAGAGGGAGTAGAGTATTTAATTATTTAAAACTCTACAAAACATTTAATTTTTTTGTCAAAGTGTTGTACGATTTGACAAAAAAGTTAAATTATGCTACTGTTTTTGGAATTATTCTACAAGATAAATTCCATATTTTTTTGGGATACACACATATATGTTCCATATATATTGATGTAATTTAATTTCAATTAACAATTCAAAAATTATAAATGTATATTCTCGTTTAGGAGACATGACATGAGAGGAAATAGCAAGTGAATATTAAACAATGTTGCATTTATTAATAAATAACATGAACCGTAATAATTGTGGTTTTTGTATATAAAACGATCCATTGCCATGCATATAGTTAGAACACGAACCAAAACAAACTACTTGTTTAAAAATAACGTTACATATTAGCATTAACATTTTAAAAAAACTTTCTACGGACAACGTTTAGCGTTAGCATTATCAAAATAATCTGTACCGTTGAAATTTTATCCAAAATCTTAACGCTATTCCCAAACAAACCCATAGTGTTTTCAAAACGCTAACGCTAATCTCTAACGCAATTTTCGAAAAGGCCCATAGTCGGTCTGGAAATCAATGGACGACATATATTGGTGGGAAGATATATAATCTTTCTTTAAGTATCAAGAACTAATTAATAAAATGAAAGAAAATTAATTTAAGGGAGCTGAGATAAACAATTACACACAAATCCATATGCACCTAATTAATATAATTAGGGAAATGTATAAAACAGTGGGCAACGTGCTTGCCATGCCGCTTGTATTGTACCGACTAAATTTTGTGTTTTAATTTGTAACTTAATTAATATTCCATCCGACAAAATGTTACGGATTATTTCAAATTTGGTTGTAATAAACTTATTTTTAATATAACTTATCTTATTATAAATATAAAATATATATATATAACTTAACTTTTATATATATATATATATTTATATATTTATATATTTATATATTTATATATATATATATACACACACACACACACACACATATACATATATATATATATATATATATATATATATATATATATATATATATATATATCTGTGTGTGTGTATCAGTGTATGTATGTACAGTGGCAGATCTAGAAAAAAATATGACAGAGGCAAACACACGTATAGTGGGGGTTCAGGGAAGCACTCCCGATATTTTTTAAAGCATTTGATAATGATAAAAATAAATAGATTTAATTTCAACCACATATTCAAATAAGAAAGAATTATTTTTAAAGTAGAAAAATAAAATACTCCCTCTGTTCTACAAAATCATCCCCCTTTCGTTTTTTTTGAATTCTCTAAAACACTTCCACTTTCAATTAAAAAACCACTTTTACCCTTACTTTTTCATACCCTACCTATCACATCATACTTTTTCTCTAATAACCAAACTATCACATCTTACTTTTACCCATCACACCGGGGGCAAAATTGAAAAGTCAACCAAAACTACACTTTCCTTATTTTTGCCCAAAGTCAAAAGTGGAAGGGTTTGAAGGAACGAAGGGAATATAAAATATAGAGTATGTCATAATGATAATATAATTACTCCGTATGATATTTCAAATATTTTACCTATATATCTTCCTAGGTGATTAATTTTTACTTTTAAACTAAGATTTTGTTTTGTCAGTGAGGGCAAACTAATTTTTGTACTGGGTTCGTTCTTTTAATTTTTTACAAAAAAAATACGTAGTATTTTAATATTGTATATTACAGAGTAAAAAAAAGTTGACTCGGGACGACTGCCCCATATTCATACGTGTAGATCCGCCCATGTGTATATATAGCCTAATTAAGGAAGAAAGCATGAGTAATTGCAGTAGAATATTCACGATGCATTTTCGTCAATACAAACCCATCACTTCAATAACACCATCACTCTAACAAAATTTGTATTTTACATCAATGCTTTCAAATTTAATAAATTACATCATCACTTCAATATGTTTTAAAGGCTTCCTCAACATTTAGGGGTGTTTGTTTTTCTGCCAGAAGACCTTCTGACGTCTTTTGTCTGCGCCGCGCAGATGCTGGGCTCTGCAGATTGTTTGTTTTTTGGAAGACATTTCACTCAAAAAGGTCTTTCTGGCATCTTCTTGGAGAAGACATTAACCAATGTCTTCTAACATCTTCTTCTTTTTTTTCTACTTCTCTTCACCACCACCACCGTCCACCGCCACCGTCCACCACTACCACCGTCCACCATCATCGTCACCGTCCATCACCATCGTCGTCCACCACCACCGCCACCATCCACCGCCACCACCACCACCGTCC